TAATGTGCACTTCACACAGTTAGAATTACAAACATCATAGTAACACAATCAGTTTCATTAAAGCTGATATTTTAAATCTCTGCACCTCAACAATCCTGTTTTATATTTTATATGAAACAGACTTCTGCTAATTTAGAATTAATCTAAACGTGACTTTGTTTAAGTTCCCTCTCATTTTCAGGCCATGAACCATAATGTGTGTTATGTCAGTATGTTTTGTGTGTGTGGAGGAAATGATAGAGCCATAACTAAATATTGTCTTTTATCTTGATGTTTTATTAGTACAAAGTTCTCTGCACCAGACATCTTACAGTTTAGTCTGTTAAATCTGTTGATGTGATTTATATATTTAGAAAATATTCTCATTGATATTGTGATATATTTCAGAGTTAAAGATGTGCGTCTGAATGTGTTGGATGATCTTTGTGTGTTTAACAGGGAGAGGAAACCTGCTCCAGTACGGACACCTCAGACAAACCTGACAGTACTGGTCCAGGTGAGAAACACCAGTCTACATATCTAAACCCAGATCTAAACCCAGCTGGTCTACATATCTAAACCCAGATCTAAACCCAGCTGGTCTACATATCTAAACCCAGATCTAAACCCAGCTGGTCTACATATCTAAACCCAGATCTAAACCCCGCTGGTCTACATATCTAAACCCAGATCTAAACCCAGCTAGTCCTCATATCTAAACCCAGATCTAAACCCAGCTAGTCTTCATATCTAAACCCATATCTAAACCCAGCTAGTCCACATATCTAAACCCAGCTAGTCCACATATCTAAACCCAGCTAGTCCACATATCTAAACCCAGCTAGTCCACATATCTAAACCCAGCTAGTCTTCATATCTAAACCCATATCTAAACCCAGCTAGTCCACATATCTAAACCCAGCTAGTCCACATATCTTGAAATACACAGAAATATCTTTTCACACATATGTAGTACAGTATATATATCGTAAGGATCTGTATTCTTTAAACCTTTTACCTTTTAAAACCACTCTTTGATTGATTACTGATTGTCAGTTTGTAGCTAATTAGTTTTGTAGGTTAAAGTGAGAATTTAAAGGTCTGTTTAAATCCAAGCTGCAGTGATTAAATGATTATTTTGTTGTCTGGAAGTTAAACCTCTCACTAAGAGGTCCCTCACATGATTAAAGGATCGAAGTCTTAGTCGTGTTAACCTACTTTTGATCAAATATTTCCTTATTAAATGATTAATTAGTTTCTGTGTTGAGTCTAAACAATGGTTTAAAGTGTTAAAGATAAACCAGGAGTTCGTAGGACAGCATGTCTATGTTCCTTAGTGAAACTTGTTTCATTATTTTATTTGTACCGCTATAGAAACGACACCGTTGGACCTGCAGCATCACTCAAAGCAGGAAGTAGTAATGAGATCTTTCCCCTCAGACTCTCAGATCTCAGGTGACCTATGCGCCCATGATGGAGCTGTGGTCACCACGACGACGGTGGGCGTGGCCTCTCTTCACGTGGTTCAGGCCCGCCCCCTCTGGCCCACCGGCCCGGCCCTGACGGCTCGTTTACGGCGCCTGATCACCGCCTACCAGCGTTTCACGCTGCGCCGCGAGCCGCCGCTCCGCCACGACTTCCTGCTTCACGACGGCCTGGTCGGCATGGGGATGGGAGGAGGCGGGGCCGCCCACGGTCACCACGCCGGCGGGCCGATGGCCTGGCAGCTGGGCGAGGAGCTGAGGAGGTGCTCCGTGGTCGCCACAGAACCAGACCCACTGTTCCTGGAGTGGCAGAGAAGGTACCAGAGTCTTCAGAGAAGAGACACACATCAGAACCAGCTCACATAGAGTTTTAAGACTTCTGCATTTCTGAGGTCTTTTATTCTGAAGGAGTTGCTTAAGTCAAACCAGCGACTACATTAAAATAGTTAAACATGAAGAGTCAACATGGTGCAGTGGTGCATCCTAGAGTTCAGTCCTGGTTTAAGACTACAGGTCCCAGAATACTGCAGCAGCAAAACAAACAAAGGTTTTATTAAGAAGTCTCCCAATAATCAATCTTTTTCCAACAAAAAAAGGCGCAACCCACATACTCCCTCTGCTGCTCATCCCACAAATGCATGTTCCTTATGAATGTGGCTCCATTTAAAAGGGAAATCAACCGGCTTTCCAATGGTAGAAGATTTATTGCCAAGAAGCATTGTGACAACAGAGAAACAATCTACCAAACACAAATGTCCTTACTTTCTGTGCTATGTTTATTTTTATTTCTGTGTTTCTTTTTCTGAAACATACGTATGAAACATTACGTCTTGTTTCAGGTGGACTCGTCGAGAACAAGCCGATTTCTACCGCACTGTGTCGTCGTACGGCGTCGTGTACGACTCGGACAGGAAGTCCTTCGACTGGTCCCGGTTCAGAGCTCTGGCCCGACTGGAGAGGAAGACGGACGAGAGCTTGGAAAGATACTTCAACTCCTTCGTCAACATGTGCAGGACGGCCTGCAAGCTGCCTCCCAGGAAGGAAGAAGGTAGTGAGAACCTCCAGAGTCCAGCTCTGCATCAACTAAAGTCAATGTTGTCATGGGGGGCAGCTGGAGACCTTGTGTTCCTCAGGACCTGGTCTCTGGTCTCTGGGACACATTACTGCCCCCTGCTGGTGGGAGGAGTCAGTTGATCTTCACTGACATTTAATTATGAAACAGAATCAAATATGAATATTAACCATTTTAAATTCTAAATAACTCTGTTAATGAGTGTGAGGACACAAAATAAATAAATTCAATAAATATGAATAAATGATTTTAAACAGGTTTATGAACTATATTCACTGTTAAACCACATGATCAGGATCATATGGTTCTGATTGGCTGACAGGATGATGACGAACACACTCAGAGACAGCTGATCCTACTTATCTTCTTCCTCTCACCCACCCTCCTCTTCCTCTCACCCTCCCTCCTCTTCC